CCCAGGCCCCATTACGGGGGAAGACACACCAGGCAAATAGCTCCTGAGAGAGAAGACGAGATTTCCTGACGCACTTCAGAGGCGGCTGTGCATCAGCCCAGGAAGAGGCGAAAATTGTGGGGGAAATCTCAATTCTTCCTTTGTGTTCGTCAGACAGTAAAATGCTCAAGGCAAGCCCTGTCTTGTTCAATTTCGACTGTTTTATGGTCTCAGATGAGAAGCCTATGCGGAGAACTTTCTTTCCTGGTCCCTTCCCCCATCCTGGATTCTCAACTGCACACGGGAGCTCCAGGAAGCAGAGTCGGAAGGGGCACCCAGATCTTGCTAAACAGCTCAGCCAAGACATGTGACAGTAGTAGGCAGAAAGGAAAGCAAGCAGGGGCTTTAGAAAGGAGGCATAAGGAAAAACAAACAAGCCCAAAACACTGTTTTTCTCTTTATGCCAGCATCATTAGGAGAAATTGGAAATACAGAGTGACATTAAAAATCCCTGTCAATGTGAACAAGCAAAGGAGTCCCCCAGAAAACAGTCTGCCCACCTCTCACTAGGCAGCTTCATACTCATCTGTAAATGCAATCCCAGATGTGTATAAAAGGCCAGTTCTTCTGCTAAATGTGGGCAACATCTAGGGTATAAAGTTAAACACAAGGAGATTTAGGAAAGAAAAAAAAAAACCCTACAAACAGAATCTTGTATACCAATCTAAAAAAATGAAGGAAAAATACATGAGAGAGAAAATAATGTATGAAAAAAGAAGAAATAATTCCCAAATTATAACTAGAACAAAATTGGTCTGCTCAGCAAAAGCTGGGAAAACAACATTCCTGTGATTTTAATTCTGAAATAGCTGGGTGCTTCAAAACACGCATGGGGAAAATGGAATTAAGAGAGATTATTGTGGGGCAGCAAAAATGGAAATCTCTGCATAGTTATTGCATGCTGTGCATGTTCTACCACCAGCCAGTTGAAGACACCCTTATTCAAGTACAGTGATTTTCCCCAGTGGAAGTCCCTAAGCGTGGTTTGTCCAGCCTGCCAGCACCTCCCCCATGAACCAGGCTCACAGTGAGGGTTGTCACTCAATGCTCCATTCACCCCCACCCGTACACCCCTTCTTTATGGGGATTCATGGCGGCAGCTTAGCATTGTCAGCACAACTCACTGAGCGACATCACCCTTCTGTGGCTACTCCTGCGGTATCCTCACGCAAAATGATTTATTTGGACTTCATTATGATAAAAGGTATAATTAGCAGTCATTTTGTAAGACAAAGTACTGGTGCCACAAGCCAATTTTTCTGCAAGTGCCATTAATGCAGCACCTGCACTATTCATGTTTAGACATCAGGTAATTGTGCAGCTAGCCACTTACGTGTCTGTTTAATTAGTCTAATTTACATATGCAAATAAGCTGTACACCCTAATCCCCTTTACAAATTCGGATACATTAAGTTTCTGAAATTTCATCAAACCACATCTTTTTGCAGTCCCAATATTTTCATCTGATAATAAAATATAAGGACAAGGCTTAAAGAAGCTGTGAAGACGCCATGTGTTCATGACATCTGTGTGCTGCCTTCCTGTCCTGAATGCTCCAGAATCATTGTTTTCTGCTCTACAATAAGATATGATATGATATAACATAATATAATATAATATAATATAATATAATATAATATAATATAATATAATATAATATAATATAATATAATATATCTGTGTATATATTAGATAAATATATATATATTTAGTTGGGATCAGCAGTTCCATGGCTCATCTAACTCCACTGACATACTACCAAAAAGTAAGGATTCTAATAAAGCGAACAGAGGGATTTCACAAGAAGAAAAGACAATAATTGATGACTCAATATTTTTAAGCTCTGGGTAAAGATTAATGCTTTATTTTGTTGCCCAACTAGGCCTACATTAGAATCTTCAAATCTTTATCTAAATGCTAATCTACCAATTATTCCACATGAATGAAAAACTAAAAACACATCCCTGAAAACATTTTGAAGCATATGCATAATTTCATTCAAGACTTCACCAAGGGGCTAGCATGATGGCTCAACGGACTAATACTCTACCTGCAAGTGCCAGGATCCAATATCGGCATTGGTTCATGTCCCAGCTGCTTCACTTTCCAACCAGCACCCTCCTTGTGGCCTGGGAAAGCAGCGGAGGATGGCACAAAGCCTTGGGATATTGTACCTATATGGGAGACCTGGAAGAAGCTCCTGGTTCCTGGCTTTGGATTAGCTCAAATCTGGCTGTTGCAGCCTTTTGAGAAGTGAACCAGTGGATGGAAGGTTTTTCTCTCTCTGTCTCTCCTATCTACCTCCCCAATAATAAATAAATAAATCTTTAGAAAAGACAAATAGCAGAATAATGAACTTACAACTGTTTTTGAAGGACTATACTACTGTAATATATAGAGAAAATCAGTATGAAAAAGGGGAAGGGAAATCCCTGAGCCTATGGAAACTGTACCATAAAATTAATTAATTAATTATTTTTTAAAAGGCTTCATAAAAAATTTCTTCAACATCATATCTCAAAAACAAACACAAACATTCAGTAAAATCTTTAAAATTCTCCACTAAGGAAAGACATAATGGTTTAAGTTCATAATTGATATTTATTACTCAGGATAATTAAGTTTAGATGAAGAAAAGTTTAATTTTGTTTTGATATATAATGAACTAAAAGCACAAAGCCAGCTTCAGACTAGATACATAGAATTTTTGAAATCATACAATTTAAGAGCTATGAATGGTTACTTAAAAATTACAAGTTTGTAATCATACAGAGCTTCAGCTGTTGAACAACGTCAGGAAAATGTTTTTCTACATTTTTAAAAGCTTTGCAATTAAAAGCAGCAGAAGAAATGTACATTTGTTTTTTCTTGCTGCTCCTGAATCTCCACAAAAATGCTGGTCATGGGATGAAATATTATAAGCCACAAAGCAAAAGAGGACAGGAAAAGGGGAGAGCAGTCAACAAAGGATTTCAAGAAAAGTTCATCACAGGAAGGGCTGGTGAGCAAGCTCTCAGAGAGGCTGCTTTGGGGTTGCCTGAGCAGATGACCCAGGGAGTGCCCATGGAAAGCGGAGGTGCAGACAAGGCTGGGAGGGAAAGTGGCAGGAATCCATGATTAGGACGATGGAGCCGGGCCTCCCACTCACACTCAGGGAAGGAGGGAAGGTGGAGGCTGTGTGTTCCCTCCAGAAACCTAACGGGAAGGGATCAAGAAAGGGAGGATTCCGTCCAGCAGAGCAGCTGAGTCAGCAAAGTGCTCAGGTGCATGGCAAACCTACAGAGTGGAGTTGAGCAGTGGACAGTTTCAGAAGGGTGATGGACAGTCTCACCAAGATGAAGAGCATGGGTCAATGAACTACATGTTGCCAGGTGCAGCTATCACAGCACATCAGAATGGGAGCCCATCTGGAGAAAGTGGCCCCATGACTCTGAGTTATCATTCCTTTTTTTCTTTTTTTGAAGATGTGTGTATTTATTTGAAAGTCACAATTAGACACAGAGCGGGAGAGGCAGAAAGCAATGCCTTCTATTTGATGGTTCACTCCCCAAGTTGCCCCAACAAACCAAAGCCAGGAGCTTTTTCCATGTCTCTTAGGTGGGTGGTGGAAGTCAAAGCACTCAGGTCATCTTTCCCTGCATTTTCCAGACCACTAACTGGGAGCTGGATGGGAAGTGGAGAAGCCAGGACAGGAACCAGCAACCCATCAGGGTGGCTTTTCCTGCTTTGCCACATACTGGCCCTGAATCCGTGTTTCTATCACTTTCTATGATCAGCCCCATGGTACCACTTGTATTTTATTAACCAAGAAATGGGATTTAATTTAAAAAAATGATTAAGTTCATCTGAAATTGTATTAAGTATAAAACAGAATAATTTAGGAGTAAAAACATAGAAAACAAATGAGTAAGTTAAAGATAAAGTGGTTTTTGAGAGTTTCACATCTTTTTCACAATGGCCATACAATGTTTGTAGAAACATTTAAAAATCAAATAGGAAAACAGGATTGCAAAGGATGAAATTGATGGAGTGTATGCCTAATTCCTGAGCCAGCTAAAATTTAATGGCCAACAGGTGATCCTTCTGTAAGTAACTAAGACTCACGAGGCACTCCAGAAGAGACCTCACTTGTGAATGGAATCCAGCTCTAATGCACGAGCCTTGCCTCTGTGTAAGGGCCTCTCGCCATCCTGCCAGTCAGCAAAGACTGTGGCCAAGGTTGAGAGCAGCCTTCAGCAGACACCAAACCCACTGGTCACCTTCACGTAGGCTTTCCAGATTCAAGCTTCCATGATTTCTTGCAAATTACTCAGTCTGTGCCTTATTATTATTATTATTAATATTATTATTATCAAATTGTTATAGCAGCTTAAGACAGGGCCACTTCTCAAAGCAAGGGGGGCATTCCAGAAAGACACAAAGCAAGCAAATGCTAGTAAGATGATAGTGAACACAATACATGCTGTGACCACCAGTGAAGTTCAGCTATTTGCTGTCCCTGAGCTTGGTAGACAACACCTTTACAATTTCTAATTGATGACCATGAATGATCACATCGCTTAAGAAATCATGTTCAATGAAAACCAGAAAAGCTGAATTCAGCTCGGACAGGCTGTTGCCTCAGGAGGGCACCTTCTAGAAACCTGCATCTGGGGGTTGTCCAAATGCAAGAAAAGCCACATCCAGATGTGCAAGCAGACTCCCCCATCTCCTGCTCAGCAATAACGCAGTATTAACCCCATTTCTACTAAGTTTATCCCACTCGGGGACAATAAATACCTTTGTTTAACAATAATCACTTGGTTAGTTTTTCTGACCATTTCCTTCCCTGAAGCGGCACTTAGCTCTGTTAGTGGTGCTATCATGAATAGGGGAGACCTGGGTGGACCTGTCTCTGGTGTTCCTGCTGCAGAAACACCAAGTGAGCATTACATCTAGACCAAAGACGCAGAATCTCTTACCTCCAGAACCAGCCACAGTTTATCCCCGTTGACTTTATCCTTCTTAAAGTAAATCCCATAGAATTTAACCACATTGGGATGATCAGAAAGTGCTTTCAAGATGTTATATTCTGCTTCAATCTCTTCATCGATATCCTGGTTTCCCAAAAGCCACAAAAAGAGAAATAGGGCAAATTAGGAAAAATGGCACTGATTTCCTGGGACAGAAACGAATTCTGTCAAAGCAATAGCCTGACAGTTTTTATTGTGCTTAGGAATCTACTGAAATTACTTGCTTACATTGTTTAAGGGGTGAGATTATCATTTCCATGCTAACATGATACATCTTAGGTTATACTAATTTTATTGAATTTTTTTACAAAAAAGATTTTATTCATTTTACTTGAAAGTGAGAATTACAGAGAAGAGAGGTGGAAAATAGAGAGAACCACATGCTGATTCACTCTGCAGATGGCCACTGCAGCCGGGTGTGGGCCAGGCCAAAGCCTGGAGCCAGGAGTTTCCTCCAGGTCTCCACATGGCTACCTGAGCCCAGGCACTTGGACCATGTTCCTCTGATTTTCCCAGGTCATTAGCAGGAAGCTGAGCAGGAATTGCAGCAGCTGGGACTTGAAAGAGTGCCCATCTAGGAAGACAGTGTTGCAAGTGGCAGGTTTATCTACTACATCATAAACATTGATCTTAGCTTCACTGAAATTAAAAAAGGAGGCATAAAAAAGGAGACTGTGGATGCAGTTAGTCACTAGCTTTAACACGGCAGCAAAGACACAGATGTGAAACAAAAATATTTAGGACTATAATTTGGTTCATTTTGTTTCTGTAGAATACAGTACCCTTGGGTGCTATGTAAAAACAAAACAAAACAAAACAAAACAAAACAAAACAAAACAAAACAAAACAAAACAAAACAAAACAACACATCTGTTCTGGGTCCGGCACGATAGCTTAGCAGCTAAAGTCCTCGCCTTGCATGCTCCAGGATCCCACATGGGCTCCATTTCTCATCTAGCTCCCTGTTTGTGGACTGGGAAAGCAGTAGAGGACAACCCAAAGCCTTGGGACCCTGCATCTGCGTGGGAGACCCGGAAGAGGCTCCGATTCCTGGCTTCGGATTGGGTCAGCTTCAGCCATTGCTGCCACTTGGGGGATGATTCATTGGACAGAAAATTTTCCTGTCTTTTCCTCCTCTCTATATATCTTACTTTCCAATAAAAATAAATCTTAAAAAGAGAGAGAGAAAGAGAGAATTAAATCACCAGAGATATAGCAGGCTGCCACTTTGTCAGTAAAAGTGCAAGTTAACCCCGTAGCTACACTTCTAAAAAATAATATATGTATATGTATGTGTATATGTATAAACAGATGAAAAACTCACAGAGTAATAAAAAGCAGGAAGCCTTATAAATATTGCTATGACAGTCTATCTTGTTCCATGGAATCATGGAATCATGGAAATAGACCATAACGTGGAACTGAGCTTTACATATAAAAGAACAAGGTCAGGGGCCAGTGTGGTGGGATAGCATGCTAATCCTTTGTCACTTCTGATCCAGCTCCCTGTTTATGGCCTGGGAGGGAACAGGAGTCCTTGGGCACCTGCACCCACCTGGAAGACCTAGAAGAAACTCCTGGCTCCTGGCTTCACATGAGCTCAGCTCCAGCTGTTGCACCAATTTGAGGAGTGAACCAGTGAAAGAAAAATCTCTCTGTCCCTCTCTCTGTAAAATCTGTCTTTCAAATAAGCTTAGATAACTTAGAATCAGAGATGGTTAGTGTGAACTCCATATTTAAAATCCAAGTCTACTACTTTGCTCATTTAATCCCTTTATGGGACAGAAACTTATTAGTGCATATTAGGGAGTGTCACCCTGAACAGCTATAACAAAAAATCCAATCTTTGTAAAAATGCCTGGATACATTTACATTTATTCAAGATTGTAATCTCGGGGTTATCATTTGTGACATGATGAATGGAGAGTGTGTAAATAATTCTTAGACATATATGTAGTATGACAAGAATAAAAGAAAAAAGAATAAATGAAGAACTAGAACAGAGGAGGGGAGAATTTGGATCATGGACCATGTAAGGTCCACAAAATCATTTGGTCTGGTCCTGCCAAGCCGACTGCGAATGGGACTCAATTTGTATGACCTGTAAAGGATGTTATAAATTTCATAATGATTGTTGGTAGAATAAAGGTCCTTCCCTATGCTATTGTTATAAACTCTATTTCCTTACAGTAACAGGATAAGACAGTTATTTATGTATACAAGTATACTTTACGTGAGTAAATGATGAGCAATGAGGTTATGTGGATTATAATCACGTCTCTGCTCCATCAAGAATGCGGAGTGGGAACAATACACTCATGATAGGGCAGACAAGGATTAGAATTCTCCTTTCTTGCTGCCATGAGCCGCAGCCCCTAACAGCAAGATTAGAGGGAAGGGGTACAGTCACCTTAGTATAACTTGTGCCTCTTTTGCAAGGACTGAGATGCCACCTGGGTTGCTCACATCCCATGTGGACGTGTCTGCTTCTGATTCTACTTTCTCACGAATACAGATCTGGGGAGGCAGCAGTGTTGGCTCATGTCATTGGGTCCCTGCCACCCACATGTGAGACTCTGACTTCTTTCCTCCTGGCTTCAGCCTGGTTTCAGCCTCATTCAGCCTCAGTTCTTGTGGGCACCCGGGGGTTGCAGCAGTAGATGGAGGCTATGTCTCTATCTCACTGACTTTTTTCTCTCTCTTTCAAATAAAATGAAAAACAAATACATGGAATGAAAATCAATCCATAAGACTCTCCCTTGCTCAAAACCATGGAATAATGTTGTTCCAAAGAGTTTAGCAAAAACAAACTGTCAAAAAAAACCAAAAAAAATTACAAGGCAATCCTTCAAGGAACCAAGTGGTCCAGAGACATCTTTCCAGGATCCTGCAGCTTGCCAGTGCACATGCCGTGACAAGGACCCAGGACTCTGATGTCCTCCTGGCAGCCGTTCATCTGCCTCATCACTGGGGACCCTAGGGAGTGCATGAGGATTTAAGTTCTTCTGGCTCGGCCATGGCATAAGAGAGATGGGGATCTGGAACTATCCCTCATGGTGGGCTCTTATTCCCAGAAAACACTCTCAAATTTCTCCTCAGGGAAAAAGCCTGACATTTCCTCTTCTCACACCAGAGACCTGCCAAGAAGTAAGTGAACCCTACTGTGGCCCTGCGTAAGCTTAGCTCAACGGAACCAGGCACAAAATCTAATTCTTCACAAGGGAGAACTCCCTCCTAGCTGTGAGTCCACACCAGTTCTGCTCTGGAAACTTTGAAGCAAAGCTGAATATCAATTCCCTTCTGTTAAAAAAATAACCTGAATTAAAAAAGATACTCTTTAGGTTGACTTAAGATGTTCAGCTGAAGCGTAAACAAATACAGGGGAAAAAGATGTCAGGTGAGGACGACATTTCAGATCATTCCAGACCTATGGGTTACGGGGCGTGTGTGTGCACGCGCGTAAGACTTTTTCAACTTTTATTTTTTGAAATAATGTTGTTTAAATTCATTTTATGGACAAAGTCTTAATACTACATTAAATAAAGAATTCAACAAATAAAAAGTAAGCATACTATAGTCCAATAGAAATATAGACAAGAGCTGTAAACAATAATGAAATGCAAAGATGCCCCTTTCACTCATATACTGTAAATTTTAAAAGTCACAAATCATAGTTCAACTCTGCTGTTGTAGCCATTTGGGGAGTGAACCAGCTATGGAAGAGCTTTCTCTCTACTCCTCCTCTCTAAATCTGCCTTTCAAATGAAAAAAAAGATATATATATATATAAAAGATATATACATATATCTTTTTTTTAAAAAAAGTCACCGATCATTAAAACTACAGTAGTAAATCATTGTTGACAACTTTTTTTGCAAAGATTTATAGCAAAGCTTGACAAAACACTATATTTGTGGGCAAACCAATACAAGACTTCAAAAAGTCTAAAGAAATGTTGAGTCAATTCTTGAATTGTCAAGACATGCATTTTGTGCCTTAATGCATATGCAATAATTGCATAAACTTAGAAAAATTAAATCAGTAGTCTTTGAAATATTTTTATCCAATTTTAACTGGTTTTAGAATGGTGTTTTAATGAATAAATCAAGTTGAGATACTTACAGACATTAAGTTACTGGGCAGGGTTTGTGACTTACATGAACTGGATCCAGAATTTTGACAGCTGCTTTTTGACCATTTTTCTTATTCAAGACTTTAAAAACTTTCCCATAAGTGCCTTTTCCAATGGTTTCAGTAATTTCCCAGGTGTCAGAAGGATCAGGAAAGTTATCAAAAATGATTGTCTTCCCAGTTAGTGGAAACATCTCCAAGGTTTAAATCACTGGAGAGAAAAAGTAGAGTTTCCTTTTCATTTGGCTGTGACATACTACACGGCACACAGGATGCTGCGGAGGATTTGCTCATATTTTACAGTCAGGACAGAGACAATAGTGATGGGACGCTGGCCAGAGTCACAAACAATTGTCATTTATTCTTGGCAAAACGATGAATAGGAGCTTCGCAATGCTTTGTGAGCAGGGCTTTATGTTTTATATAGTTTCATCTTAAATGCTTGTAATTTCCTTCAGATGAAAATAAGAGATGTTTATATCATTTTGATTGACTTCTTCACGTTCCAGTGTGACAATAAATCAAAGAATTTCAGAATGAACCTTAACCATGATAAAAATTCAACCTCATTTAAACAACTCCCACACTTAATAAAATAGGGGTTATGTTTCGCATCGCTTTTTTTTTTTAATAAAAATCATTGATGCACTCTCTCTGTTGCTTTTAGAATGGGTGTTCTTACTCACTACAACCTACCAGGTTCTTTAACACTTGACCCTTGCCCAGCCACCTGTCCCTGTGCGTTCACACTTCTTCTGTCAGTTTCTATGATCCAGCCATGTGGGTCCATCAGGTGATTTTGTCCTTGCCTGAAGGTCTTAATATAAACCATCCCCTCTTCCCACTGCCTGTGGTATTCTGGTTACAGTTTAACACACACTTATCTTTCTGGTCTCAGCTTAGCTGTTCCTTCCTGCAAATGTGACCACTCCCCCTTCTGGGGTACTTGCCGCCACTTCCATATACTCAACACCAATCACTGGCTCAGTGCTAAGATTATTGATCGATCAGATAGAACAATGCAGTCAACAGTGTAAATGCAGTGGTGTTTTTTGAATACCACAATCAATAATGTCAAAGTTTGATTGCATTACTAAGTATCATTTATATATCTGATATCATCACTGTACACCTTGCTCCTCCATAGTATTAAAATAACAAGCAAAAATCAGTTAACTAAGAAAATATGGTCAAAGACACCAAGAGGCTTTGTAAAAGAGATTCTATAGATAACGTAAGATTCCAGGTTTCTTGACTTCTAGCTAATGGTCTTCAATGTCCTTGTTCTCTGTATATACAATTATTTCTATAAATTACCCAAGAAGTAGAGGGAAGAGAATTAAAAATTAAGAAGTGATCCCAGTATTTTTGGCAGCATCACATTTTTCAATTCTGTACTGAAAAAAATGACACTGCTTTTAAGTTTTAAAATGGGTTTTCATATGTTTACACATATATTAATAAAAATGTGATGAAACATAAATGCATTCGTATCAAGATTAGCCTATGAAATCCATTCGGGTGACCACACAACACTGAACCCCACCCACACTGCCAAGGCACTGACACCCCACCTTCTGTAAGTGTATCAACCCTCTTCAGTCTCCTCCTCCTAATTCTTTTCTTGTTCCCAGCCCAGATCCTATGATTTACTTATTTCAGACACCTCAGTGCTCAGTTTTGCAGGGAAAAAGAAAAATTCTGGTTAGGCTCTCCATCATCTTCACGCCTCCCCGTATAGGTGTAGGAAACCAGGCAATGACGCAGAAAGGTGTTCCTTTATATTCTGGATAACTAATCTGTGCGAAGATCCTTAACTCTTTCAAGCACCCAATTACACCTGCCTGTCCCACGTGCTCCCTTTTCACAATAATATTCTCTCATTGACCTTTCTTCAATGATTTTATCTTGGCTGACCAATTCCTCTTATTAAACTACATCCACAATTCTCTGAATAGTGCCCAGAATACAGTAGGCAATCAGCAGACACTGGCTAAATAGACAAATGTTTGTTCATCTCTTAATTCTAATAGCAGATCTAGCTGAATCACTTTCAAACTTAACAAGGCTTACCTATGTGCCTCTGCCAAATAACTGGTGTTAAATACACAGCTGTGGAGCAAACAAAAATTTTTTTTCAAATAAAATTATCTTAAGGGCAGGTAAAAACAATGATTAGAGAGAACTGAAGAAGATACAAAAAGCCCTAGCAAATAATAATATTCTGGGAGCTAGTATCGTAGTATACAATGTTGAGCTGCCACTTATGACCCTGACATCCCATAGGAGTGCCCATTTGAGTCCTGGCTACTCCACTTCAAGTCCAGTTGCCTATTCCCTACATGGGAGACTCCCTCAGGGTTCCAGGTTCCCATCTTTGACCTAGTCCAGGTCTAGCTATTGGCATCTTTTGAGCAGCCAGCCAGGAAAAAGAAGGTTTTAAATTCCTGCTCTTTATTCTCTCTCTCTCTCCTTGCCTACTTCCCTCACATGCTCTGTTTTTTCAAATAACATAATTAATGCCTTTTTTGGGGAAAAAAATCATTACATTCTGGTTAATTCAATTTAAAGGCACACCATCTAGTAAACATCTATGAATGTAACAAAGACTCTATGACTCCATGAAATACACTTGCAAACTGTTTTTGAACACTCGGTCTTTATAAAATTTGTACCTTTGATCCAACATGCAAAGAGGTAATCAGTAATAATTATCTCCTCAAATGATTTCATAATCAGTGACAAGATAACTACCTCTTACATTTACCTACTTGAGTCATGCAAATCAGCATTGATGCCATCTATAAAAAATAAGTGTTAGAGCAAAAGACAAATTATGTCTTGTTAAATGTCTGAAATAGGACTTTTCAGTCAGGAAAAGGACTCATTACGTGGAATACTGCCTTCCAAACCACAATGTTGCTGTGCACACTCTCATTTCTAACGTGTTAACTGTGAGGAATACACTGTTGGCTTTTCAACATGTGAACATAAGAATTCCTTGAAAACATAGCTGACCACCAAATGTGTGTTGTATATTGAGCTGAGGTCTGGGGATACAAAGGTAAAGAAACCTATGGCTGTGTTCATCAATAAGTAATTGCATCGTTTTATGACAACTCATAGAGAACAGAAATAGGGCTATAGTCCGATTAGGTGAAGAGGAATTAATTCTGAAGCATTCAGGAGAAGGGGCAGGGAATAAACCATTGGAACAGGCTCCTAACCATGGGAGGAGGCACCTTCCAATAGCAGAACAGAAAACTGTAGCATTCAAAGGAGTAGGGGCTTCTCTACAATGTGTGTAATTTCTGTGTCAATCGAAGTTTAGAGCTGCATACTGCTCCTTATAAAACAACAATCACAGTTATTTTGGAAAGAGGATCTCATCAAATCCTGTTTAGACAAAGCAAACACTACTCCCAAATGATAGCTAAAAATAAATCCACTTACAATGACATTTTAAGATCATACAGTAAGAGATTTTTAGAATTAGGCTACAAGGAAATCTTTGACCTTCTTAAGGTCAATTTAAGTTTATTCATTCCTAGAGAAGAGTTGCAGACACTTGGTGCAGGGGTTAAGATGCTGTTTTGCACACCCACACCCCATGTGCCTCGAGTGCTGCCAACTCCAGCTTCCTCCCAACGTGCTCCCTGAAGGGCAGCGGGTAATGACTCAAGTTTTTGCCAGCCATGTGGGAGACCTGGATGGAGTTCCCCTAAGGCAATTCTTCTGTTGGGGACACTTGGGGAGTGAACCAGCAGATGGGAGAGCTCTCTCCATTTCTGCTACTCTACTTTCTAAACAAATCTTTAAAAAATTTATCAAAAAATTTAGGTTTTTGATTTTTTTCATAATTAAATTCTATGAAATCTTTAAGGATGATATCATATTGTCTTAAAGTTTTTCTATTTACTTATTTTTCTTCATTAATATTTTGTGATATATATTAAGATTATCCTATTTAAAATCTTAGCCCACCCCCATCCTTCTTCTAATACCTGATTCTCTTAATTCTGACATACTCTAAAGCACCTATAAGCTCTTTCCACATGACTTAACATCCTGTTTATTATGTCTCATTCATTCTCTCCACTTCTAAAATTGAAGCTTCTTGATGGCTGAAATTTCTGTATAGTTTGTTCAATATTCTATCCCAAAGATAATAAAATGATGCCTGAAACCAAGCTGGTGATCATGTTTATGGAATATTAAGCAGAATGAATGAAAAAGAGTAACCAGAAAACAGAAATGTGTCTAATGGTTTCAGCAACAAATTCAAATGCTTTTAAAAAATTCCACTGTATATGGTTTTTTTTCCTCCACAGAAAACAGTGAATAGCTATATCAGACATATTTAAACCCCATAAACTTACACCAAGGCACATTATCATCAGTCTGCAAAATGATAAAGAAATTCGGGCCCGGCGCGGTGGCGCAAGTGGTTAGGGGTCCTCGCCTTGCACGCCCGGGATTTCATATGGGCGCCGGTTCTATCCCAGCAGCCCCGCTTCCCATCCAGCTCCCTGCCTGTGGCCCGGGAAGGCAGTCGAGGACGGCCCAAGGCTTTGAGAACCTGCACCTGCGTGGGAGACCCGGAAGAGGCTCCTGGCTTCTGACCGGCATAGTATCGACCCGTTGCGCTCACTTGGGGAGTGAATCATCGGATGGAAGATCTTCCTCTCTGTCTCTCCTCTTTGTATAAAATAAAATAAAAAAAATTATAAAAATAAATCTTAAAAAAAAAAGAAATTCGCCAGACAGTAGTACTCTCCATTACACAGTCAAAAAGACAAACCAGTATCCATATTTCCACATCAGATTGTAACTCCATTCTTTTTTCATTGGAAAGGAGGATATACAGAGAGGAGAGACAGAGAGGAAGATCTTCCGTCCGATGATTCACTCCCCAAGTGAGCGCAACGGTCGATACTATGCCGATCCGAAGCCAGGAGCCTCTTCCGGGTCTCCCACGTGGGTGCAGGTTCCCAAAGCTTTGGGCCGTCCTCGACTGCTTTCCCAGGCCACAAGCAGGGAGCTGGATGGGAAGCGGGGCTGCCGGGATAGAACAGGCGCCCATATGGGATCCCGGGCGTGCAAGGCAAGGACCTTAACCACTTGCGCCACCGCACCGGGCCCTCCATTCTTTTTTCAACAACTTAAAAATATATTTTATAAGTCAACATTACAGAGAGAGAG